AATCATTTTGAATCTTTTGTTTTCTTTTTAAAAGGTTACACGGCACTTTGAAATAAAATAAGGGGTGAAGATTATCATTTTCATTAGTGTGTCATTCGGCCATATTTTTCTAGAGAGAAGAAATATTAGTTTGGTTCCATTAATATCATTTTGTGTATAGAAAATATCTATAATATTTTCTAAATATTATTAGAAATATTTTCTATAGAAATATACAAGATTATTATTATCCCAAATTTTAATCTTTATATTTTATACTACTATAATCTTTACTAGCAAAAAGATTGTGGTAGACTCCGGCGTTGTTCGTTGTCAAAGTTGGAGACCGGACGCTTGAACGGTTACGTTTGCACTTTCAACGCTCTTCCTACGACTTCTTCGTTTTTACCGCTTACGGAGAAAGGTATAAATTTCTTATTCACTATAAGTTTTAGTACGTGATTCTGGGCAAGATAATCATGTTAGGATGTTAAAATTTTTATATTCCGCTGCCTATCCTTGCATGGTTACCTTTCAATATATATATATATATATATATATATATATATATATATATATATATATATATATAAACCCGAAAGAGACCACTAAACTCGGTGGGGTAAGGTCCAGGCCGCCCTTACCAGCTTTATTAATTAAAAATGTGAATACACGTTCGGGGAGGACTAGACCGAAGCCCCGAAGGTAGTACAAAATATATCAAAATTACCAATAGAAACAAAATTAAATCTGTGACAAGGAAAATCTAAAAACCAGGAAAGGATCCATTTCAATCTGCAGACTCAATTCTTGTCTCCTCTTCCGCTGAGTGTTTGGAATTAAATCTTTCCATCAGTGAGTTCCAGGTCGAATATTGATCTTGGAGATGTCTTCGCTTCTAGGGGGAAATTCCTTGAGTGAAATCGCCGTTGACTCCCCTCCTCCTAATCGAATGCCTGCTATGAATCCCAATCTTCTCCACATGTAAGTACTTCCCACTAAGGCTGAAGATTTCAAACCCCAAGTCGTATAATTCTTGGTCTCTGATCATCCAGCTCTTTTTCCTATGTAGCCAATTTCCATTGCTGAATAGTTGTTTTAGTTCCTTTTAGCGCTGTAGACATAGAAGGGCTATCTTCATTGTAGATTGTTGCAGTGTATATTTTCCATATGTTCCACGCTATAATAACAGGTGTAACCATTCTCAAGTTACCTCTTTGTGTCTTACTATTTGCTCTAAGACCCCATTCTAGGAAATGTTGTCTCAGTGTGATACCTTCTCTTGCTCTTGGTCCTTGTAGGAGGTTAGAAAAGAAGTTCCAAATGTTGATGCTGAATTCACAGTGGAGAAGGGTATGGTTAACATTTGTTTCCCAAGATTTGCAGAGTGGGCATTGTGAATGTAGGTGAAAGCCAATTTTGATGTATAGCTGTGGGAAAGGTAAGATGTCATGTAGGATTTCCCATTGGAATATTTTAACACATGGGATTTGAAGCTTGTGCCATGCCAATTTGTAACTCAGTTGAGAATTCCCCGATTCCCTGCATGCATTGTATCCTTGTTTAAGTGTGAACTCTCCCCCATCCCACTGCATAACTCCATTATGCAAACCTCAGTTTTCCTCTGCTATATTTGTGACTCTACAAATTCTCTTCCAATTAGGGGAATCCACTATTTTTTCCCGGAATGAATTCCTCCTAAGATACTTGTCTCTTATGAATATGGCCCATATACTATTGCCCGTCAGAGCCTTCCACCATATTCTTAGAGAGTAGGCCTTTTGCAGATCCTTGATATTTCTCAACCCCAGACCTCCCTCTTCTTTAGGTTTGCAAATAGCTTCCCATTTTCTCCAGTGATGTTTGGCCTTACCATTTCTGTAACCCCACAAAAAATTAGCCATTACCCTATTCAGCTGATTGATAATAGATAAAGGCATACAATATATAGCCAAGTAGTGTAAAGGAATTCTCTGTTGGGCTCCTCCACCCCTCTCATGTCCTCATCAACTTCTCGTCTGAAAAGGATTACCAAAGATTATTCTTGTGAAAAGATTGGAACGTCCAAGGAGCAACCATGAACATCACCAAGTGGACCACTGATTTTGATCCCAGTAAGGTAACTCCAATCATCCATGTCTGGATTTCCATGGCAAATCTGCCTATTCACCTTCATGATCATAGAGCACTGATGGCTATTGCAAATATCTTTGGAAAACCTATTAAACTGGACTCTACTACAGAAAATTTCAGTAGGCCCTCAGTGGCCAGATTCTGTGTAGAAATGAACCTGTCCAGCCTCCCTTACTTTTATGTTAAGAATGGGGATACTCCCTTACTTCTGCAAGCAGAATTCGAAAACCTCCCTGGTTTCTGCAAAATGTGCAAAGGAATCAACAGACACTCAGCTTCCTGCAAGCATTTTTCCCCTCCAATGGCTAAGATTCCCCTGCCAAACAGCAACCAAACACCCTCTCCCAGTCAACAATCCCATCACAGTGATATTTCCTCAAAACAATTACAAACAAAAAATTCCAATCCCAGTGCCTACTTCTCATACCCTGAGCCCAATCCCTGAACCTTCCAACCACACAATTAATCACAATCAAGCCACCTCTCTCCCAGCCCCACTTTTTGCCGAGTCTTCCACCCCCATCCAGATCCCAGCACAACCCTCCTCTAATCAGTCTCTTTCCCTCATCCCAAATTCTCTTCCTAACACTCCACCCTCCCCTTCTCTCCATACTGATCAGGAACATTTCGAGTCCACCTTTCAAGAGGAGATTTTTAATAACCTCTTTCGCATCTTTGCACAAGGTAGAGATGAAAACATCAAAGGTATTCTCAATAAGGCAGACCAGCCCAACCCACAACAAGAACACTACCACTCAGAAGGAGAAACTTTTCCCAGAAAATGTCCCAAACCTGCCAACAAGGAATCAAACACACTAATCAGAACACTGGATTTAGAAACCAAAAGGAGATCAGCTAGGCTCCTAGAAAAGGCTTCCTCTCACAATTCTCTCTCCCTCCTTCAGCAATGAATGTCCTCTTTTGGAATATTAGAGGCATAGCCTCAAATCTCCCAAGATTAAAAATTCCTTATCAAAGATTTACATATCCACTTTGTGGCTATTATTGAACCTAAATGTATTGGCAATAAACTCACCCAATTTCAGCTAGGCCTGGGTTTTGACAATGCTCTCCAACTCTGCAACCACCAAATCTGGGCCTTCTGGAACTCAGACTCCTTGACACTGGGATCCTCTTTCTCCTACAATCAGCTGGGCCACCTCCTCTTCAGAAGCAAAACCCTGCAAACAAAACTCCATATTTCAACCATTTATGGAAAGCACACTAAGGAAGAGAGAAGGGACTTATGGCACTTCATCTCCACCCTCTCTGGATCTATTAATGACCCATGGCTCCTAGGAGGGGATTTTAATGCTATCAGCTCACTCTCTCATCACAAGGGAAAAAACACACCCTGCATTGTTAGTATTATGGAATTTGACACTTGTATTACTCAAAATGGTCTGATTGAACCCCCCTTTTCTGGCTCTCCATTTACTTGGCATGGGTCTAGAAGCCAGGGAAAAATTTGGAGGAGATTAGACAGACTTTTCCTCAACTCCTACCTGGGCAACCTTAACTGCCTAATCTCTTCTGAACACTTAGCCAAAGTTCTGACCACTCCCCAATCCTCCTCAAAATTACCAATGGTAATTTCAAGGGTCCTTTTCCCTTTAAATTCCTTAACTGTTGGACTGCTAGCCCCTCTTTCCTCACCCTAATTAAAGATAACAAGGAACCCTACAGGGGAGGGGGCATGAGAGGTTTAATGGACAAGCTGGTGAATTTGAGGAAAATCATTCAAGCGTGGAACAAAAATACCTTTGGGAACATCCTCAAGAACAGAACCAAACAGGAGGATATACTTAAACTAGCTGAAGAAGCCTACAATGACAACCCAACTCATGACAGTAACACCAGGATGCAACAAGCCAGATCAGATCTTAATAAATGCCTAGCCACAGAATACTCCTACTGGAAGCAAAAATCCAATCTGAAATGGGTAAAGGGGGGGGGGGACCTAAACACAAAGTTTTTCCAAGCCTTTGTCAAAAACAAAATGAACTTCCAAAGGATTCATAAAATCAAGAACACAGATAACAATTGGCTTACTGAGTGGGATGACATTGCTTCAGAGGCCACCTCTTTCTTCAGTACCCTCTTCACACATGAAGACACTGACCTTTGCCCGGACATCCTGGAAAATATTCCCCTCATCCTGAACCCTAATGACAACCTCTCCCTTTGCAGCCTCCCAACTATGGAAGAGGTTAAAACACCAATCTGGGACCTTTGTCCAGACAGCTCTCCAGGGCCTGATGGTTTCACTGGCCATTTTTTTAGGGCAACCTGGGACAACATCAAAGAAGATTTGTGGAAAGCTTGCCAAGAATTTTTCCTAGGTATTCCCCCTCCTAAAAGCCTCACCCAGTCCACCATCATCCTTATTCCCAAAACTGAGCACCCCTCAAAATTCTCTGACTACAGACCCATTTACCTCTCCAATTTTATTGCCAAAACCATTTCTAAGATCTTGCCTACCAGACTGTCCTCTCTCCTACCCAAAATCATCAGCCCTGAACAGGCTGGTTTCATGAAAGATACTCTTATTCAGGATCAAATCCTAATTGCCCAAGAAATGTTCCATGGCCTAGCTAATAAATGCAGGGGGGGGGGGTAATTTGGCCATCAAACTGGATATGTCTAAAGCTTTTGATCGAGTGTCCTGGGACTATCTGCTTGAAGTGTTGAGGAGATTTGGTTTCTCAAACAAAATCACACACCTTATTCACAACCTCTTGGCCATTACCCTCTCTCTATCAACATCAGTGGCAAAAATACCAAACCTTTTCAGACTTCCAGGGGGTTAAAACAAGGAGACCCCCTTTCTCCTTTTCTCTTCATCATTGCCTCTGAATGTTTCAGTAGAACTCTGAACAACCTTGTCCTCACCAAGAAAATTGCAGGCTACAACTTGGGAAGAAATTACCATCCAATCTCTCACCTAGCTTTTGCAGATGATCTTATTCTTTTCACCAATGGCTCTGGTCCTAATCTTAAACAAGTTCACAGCTTTTTGAGGAAATATGAAAGGTGCTCAAGTCAAAAGGTGAATATGGATAAAAGCAACTTTTTCACCCCCCCTAAAACCCCCAACCATAGAATCAACTACATGTGCAATACCCTTGGCATGAACCATGGAATTCTGCCCTTTAAATACTTGGGTGTTCAAATATTCAGAGGGATTAACAGAGCTCAGTACTGCCAAACACTCATTGATCAATTTAACAATAAGTTGAAGGGCTGGCAGGGCAGACTTCTCAGCCACAAGTGGCAGACTCATCCTCCTCAAACACAACCTAAACTCCATTCCCCTTCACACCCTAGCTGTCAACAAACTCCCTAAAGATGTGCACCTTCCTCTGGGGTAACACAGAAGGAAAAGACTGCTATCATTGGGCTTCATGGGAAAGGATTTGCTTGACAGAAGACAAGGGAGGTTTAGGAGTCAGATCTTTGGATACTATCCAAGAGGCCTTCACCCTAAAACTTTGGTGGAACTATCAAGCTAACAACTCTACTTGGAGCCATTTTATGAGAGAAAGATATCCCAGAAACAACAACTTTACCCCTAAAATCACTGACTCTACCATCTGGAAAAGAATTTGCTCTATTCATGAAAAAGCCACAAACATTTTTTTTTGCAGGAGAAGAAGACCAAGAAGCCTTTTTCAGAAATAGGCAGATTACCTTCAAAGAAGCTTACCTAGCAATCCAACCTGAGGAAGAGGAAGAGGATGCAGAACCTCTCCAACATATGCAAATCAAAGAAGCTTACCTAGCAATCCTTCTTCCTGTGGCGCCTTCACCACAAACTGCTACCTTTCCCTGCACAGTTGAGGAAATTTGGAATCACCTCATTGCCCTCCATATGCTATCTCTGCAAAAGGGATAGTGACACAGACTACCACGCTCTCTTTTAGTGCCCCTACGCTAAACCCATTTGGAGCTACTTCGAATTGATTTTCAAAATACCGTGGCAAGCAACACACGGTGTGAGAGCCTACCTTCACAAATGGTGGACAGAATACCATAACCAAACTCTAGAAGGATGGCTCAAAGGAATCATACCTGGGATCATCTCTCACCAAATTTGGAGTGAAAGAAACCGGCGCATCCTTGAAAACAGCAGCAAAGACTCGGGGAGACTACTTCAAGACTGTATTGCCCAAGTGCAGGACTAGTTTCTTGGAAGAGCCCCTTCCAAGATTAAGTCCTTCGGCGCCTGGAGACTCCCCCCCTCTCTTAGAATCCACAGATGGACCAACACTTCGGACAGCGGATTACACCTTTCCACAGATGTTGCAATCAATGAAAATTACGGGGTGGCAACCGCAGTTCTATGCAGAGGGGATGGCACCTTCATTGCAGCGGGAACATGGAAGATTGAAGAAACAACTGCCTTACAAGGTAAAGCAAAAGCTTTAGCCATTGGAATGCAATGGGCTGAACACTTTGGGAGAAATATTTGGGCCAACACTGATTGCAAAAGACTAGCCCAGTCAATTTCCAATTGCAAAAACCCGGGAGTCAATCACGAACTTTGGACAACTCTCCAACACGCTTTTACACATCCACATCAAAAGATCTCCTACATACCTCAAGAGGGAAATATGGGAGCCCATCATTTGGCCAAATGGGCCAGCCAACACAATCTTTTTACTCCTTGTATTTCTTTTTTAATTACTCCCCCACATGTTTAGGGAGCAATCACAGCTGATGTAACGCTTCCTTTCTTTCGCTAATCAATAAAAAGCTAGGTTCATTATATATATATATATATATATATATACACATATATATATAATATACATATATATATAGATATATATATACATATATATATATATATATACATACATAAATATATATATATATATATATATATATATTTAATTATTTATTTTATTAATAAAAGGAAAGGAAACAAGGTGGGGGTGGCCAATAGCCCCTACAAAAAGGCCCAAAGGAAGAAGGACAATAAACTGCCAGCACCTAAAATGCCACCTAAAATGCCAAAGGAGAAAAAACAAGAGAAGAAATACAAAACACTGCCAGCTCCTACAGAGACTAAAATGCCAAGTCCATCCAAGTGATATCCAGGTCTGGTTGGAAAATAAGGTTATGCGTCCCCACAAACTTGCTCTTGTTGCATAATAGAGAAAAGTATAAAGCCTATATGGTGAGGCTGAACTAGGCTCCATAAGCATTATCCTGAGCTTAGAGTTCCTTTTAACCCATAAATTTGACCGCATAGAATGACATACCTTAATCCATTTCCCACTGTATCTGGTACCATCATCTAGGCATAAGGCAAACCTTCCTCCCTACTAGCAGTTATGCTGACGGACCAGAAATCAAACCAGAGTAGACATCTTGTTGCAGCAGGATTCAGCACTACCAAACTATCAGATTTTCCTACCTTCAAATTGTTTCCAAGTAAATGAGACATAACCCAAACAATAGAGTTTAGGCAATCAGAAGAACCCGGGATTGAAAATAGATGAAAAAACAGAAACTAAAAACCGTAAGAGAACCATGAAAACTCAGATAAGCTGGAAAAAAACAGACTCAATAAATCCTTGCCGAGATTGAGAGTCATTCATTCCTGCACACTGCATAAATGATTGAGAACTGCATCCATATCCTCGTTGGCGTAAGCAAGGTAGATCGGGTACTTCGCTCCTTGAACTATTGCTGAATCTATGTATTCAAAGCTTTTTGTTGCCTCTCTAGTAACCCGAACGACTTCCCCTGAGTAATTGAGTATGTGTCCCTTGTTTAGAGCATGGTTGTCCTTAATGACTTGATCAAACTGCTTCATACTCTCCCGGTCAATTTCAGCATCTGTGGAGTGTGTATGAGTTCTTTCGCACTCCAATTTCAATGTTGAATCTGTGAAAACCTTATTCGCCGATTCCTTCTGTTCTTCCTCTTCTCTTCCATAAAGCCTTGCACTTTGGGTGCATCTCCATCCATCATCTCTGTCTAGTTTAGCATTCCCTGATATTCCAGTAGTTCCATTTAGAAGGGGCAGCTGGTTACTCTCCAAAATCCTATCTTCTGAATCCCTAAGAAACTAAGTTAAACCCTTGCAAAAAAGCCTAATTCCAGATAAGTTGTATCCAGCGGGTATGAAAATGTGAGAGCTCCCTTTATTAGAATAAATTCGAGCATAATGTCCAAACCTATTTGATTCCCAAACCACTTTGAGGGAAGAATCTCCATCATAACAAGTGATTTCCCAAGATTCCTTTGAGTAATCCGGCCTACTTAGAATGTCAATTAACCGAGTGGCTAAAGTCCTTGAAATTGATAATAGGCGGATATTACTTGATTTTGATTCGGAAATTCTGATGCCCTTCCCGTCATCTGAGACTACAAAGTATTTGCTTTCAATTGGTAAAGAAATCTCACCTGCTTCATTGGTTAAAGGCCCCGAGCTCTGTCTCCTCCACCTTCGTTGTGGTTTGCAATCTGAAGAATGAAACTTCGGTCGAAAAGATCCAGAATACCAAGTTCGCCGATTTCCATAACCCAAAGATTCCCTTATATACTGAGGTCCGCTCCCCCTCCAGACTTCATCTGAATAGTATCGCCGCCAGTGGGCGGCGCTTCCCCTTCTCTCTCTAACCCCTACCATCTTCATATATATACATATACATACATACATATATATATATATATATACACACATATACATACATACATACATATATATATATATATATATATATATATAATTTTTTTATAATGAACGGTCGGGTACAAAGCAGGGGGTCCGAGGCCCGTTAACCTCGTGACTACCCCGGGGCCCGTTAACACCCGAGGTAGATAGCCCACTATAGAAAGCCCAAAGTAAGCCCACTATATATATATATATATATATATATTTTATTTTTTTTATTGAAAAGGAAATTTTATTAATAAAAGAAAAGGATACAAGGTGGGGGTGGCCAGCAGCCCCTACAAAAAGGCCGAAAGGAGGAAATACAAAAATTGCCAGCTCCTAAACTGCCAGATCCAAAAAACGCCAAAAGTGAAACAACAAGAGAAGAAATACAATAAAATGCCAGCTCCTAATGAGAGTAAAAGCTGTCCGTCCTTAGTTACTTGGTATCCTGGTCTGGCTGGAGAATGATGTCTTGCGTCCCTACCAGCATGCTCTTGTTGCATACAAAAGAGAACTACAAAGGCTATGTGTCAAGAGGCTGAAATGGGCTCCATATGCCTTATCCTGAGCTTAAAGGTCCCTTTAACCCATATGTTTGACCTCAAATGAAGACACACAATAATCTATTCCCTCCCTAATCTAGCAACTCCATCTAGGCATAAGACAATCCTTCCCCCGTACGAGCAAAATGGAATAGAGAAAGCCCAGTTATGCTGACAGACTAGTAAACAAGCCAGAATATTCACCTTGTTGTAGAAAAACCCAGCACTACCAGACTATGAAACCTTCCTGCCTTTAAACTATTTGCAAGTTAATGAGCCTATAGGATATTCTAAAGCCCAAACAGTAGGGTTAGGGCAATCAAAGGAACCCGGCATTGAATTAAGAAGAATAAACAAAAACTAAAAACCGGAAAAGAACTAAACCCAGATAAGCTGAAAAGCAGAAGAAATAAATCCTTGCCCATATTGAGAGTCAGTCATTCCAGCATTCCACATAGATGATTGAGAACGGCTACCATATCCTCGTTGGCATAAGCAAGGTAGACTGGGTATTTCGCTCCTTGAACTACTGCCGCATCTATGTATTCAAAGCTCTTCATTGTCTCTCTAGTAACCCGAACGACTTCCTCTGAGTAACCGAGTATCTGTCCCTTGTTTAGAGCATGTAAGAACTTTGTGTTAGCCATGGATTTCCTGAAGAGGTTGAGGTTGTCCTTAATTACTTGATCAAACTGCTTCATACTCTCCTGGTCTATTTTTTCATCTGTGGAGTGTGATTGAGTTCTTTCGAACTCCAATTTCAGTGCTGAATCCATGAAAGCCTTATTCGTAGATTCCGTCTGTCCTTCCTCTTCTCTACCATAAAGCCTCTCACTTTGCGCGCATCTCCATCCTTCATCCCTGTCTATTTTAGCATTCCCGGATATTCTAGTAGTTCCATTTAGAAGTGGCGGTTGGCAACTCTCCAAAATCCTATCTTCTGATGCCCTAAGAAATTGAGCTAAACCTTTGCTAAAGAGCCTAATTCCAGATAAGTAGAAACCAACAGGTATGAAAATGTGAGAGCTCCCTTTATTAGAAAGTCTAGCATAATGTCCAAACCTATTTGATTCCCATACCACTTTGAGGGAAGAATCTCCATCATAACAAGTGATTTCCCAAGATTCTTCTGAGTAATCCGACCTTCTTAGGATGTCAATCAAACGTGTGGCTAAAATCCTTGAAATGGATAGAATACGGATCTTACCGGATTTTGATTCGGAAATACTGATGCACTGCCCATCTGCTGAGATCACAAAATCTTTGCTTTCAATTGATAAAAAAATCTGACCGGCTTCGTTACTGAAAGGCCCTGAGCTCTGTCTCCTCCACCTTCTCTGTGGTTTGCGAGCTGAAGGATAAAACTTGGGACGATAAGATTCAGGGTACCAAGGTCGTCGATTCCCATAACCTGGAGATTTCCTTATGTACAGTGGTCTTCCCCTCCTGTCTTCATCGGAATTCAGTCGCCGCCAGTGGGCGGCGTTTCCCCTTCTCTCTCTAAACCCTTCCATATATATATATATATATATATATATATATGTATGTATGTATATGTATATGTATATATATATATATATATATTATAAAGAGGATTTTATTAATAAAAAGAAGTACAAGAAGGGGGTGGCCTATCCCCAACAATCTAGCCAAACTCCAAGAACAAAAGGACCCAAATAAACCATGAAACAATTTAAACATGAGTAGATTAAGAAGGGCAGGCCATGGGACCAAGCATTAAGCCCTACGCAAAAATCCAGAAGAACTGAACGAATAAATCCAGCCATAACCAGCGAACCAATTATCCAGGACAGGTGCACCTAGTACAATCTACCAGGCAGTAGACCAAACGAATAAAACATGAGGGCAAAGACATCAGTCTAAAATCCAGTCATAATCTGGACAACAGAGCTGGTTAAGAACAAGTGACCAAGAAAAACCAAGAGACCAAGCTCATATGAACAGAAGTCACTGAAATACCCACAACCAAAGGCAGGCCCAAACGTTACTAAACCTTAAAGCAGTAGAGGAAAACCCCAAATCTGGTGGAGAGAAATGAAGAAACATCCCTCTTAAGCTCTTCGACAATAGAGAAAAGAGCAGGAATATAATGCCTAAAATTCCTGTAAAAAAGCTCCGCAGAAAGAATGTATAACCCTTGAGTCTTCGTTTGCATAAATGAGATAAACCGGGTATTTAGTACCCTTGATGTTGACAGAATCAACAACCTCGATGCTTTTAGCCACCTGTCTTGTCATCCTGAAGGCTTTACCCTTACCATTTTTCAAAATCCCCTTCTGCAGCTTGTCACGAACCAGCCCTATAGTCAATGCTTCCCTAATATAGCAAGAGGTTTCCTTGAAGTAAGACTCAAAGTGTTCTGTGAACAGGGGCTCTAGAAGTTTGAATTCCTCTTCAAAATATCCCTTGCAACATAATTCTAAAACCTTTTCTTTGCTGCATAGATCAAGGATGTCTATTTGAAAAAGTAAGCCTGGAATGGACGAAGTGCAATCCTCCTGCACAACAGAGCAGATATCAAGGGCATCAACTAATGGGTCTTGCCACCCAGCAGAAACTGGGTCCTCACTTCTACCATGGGTCACTCCACTATCCGGGGGGAGTGTTGTGATTCTTGGAACCTCAGAATCTTCGATATGGGCCGGACTTGCAGTGGCTAAGGGAAGCTCTGATTGTGCAATAGGGGCAAAAAAATTCATTTCTTCCAGAGACCTAGAAAGGGCTTTGATAAAGCACTTTAAACCATTCTTATCTGCACCTAGTGGGACACATATTGTTGATCTAGAGCCCTCAAATACAGAGATAAGCTTCACAAAATCCCCAAAATAATTCGGATCCCAAGAGATGTTAATAGAGTTTCTCCCCTCAAATCTAGTAAGAGCCCAACCCGATCCCTTGAAAAGATGATATTCCAGAGATTCAAGTACCCAAAAGGCCAAAGAAGTGGAGACCGAGATGGTACGAAAATAACCTTTC